TACCGCGTTTTTGTACATGGTATTTTCACCATGAGGCATGCCACACGGATGCGCTAATTCAAGATTGGAATGATGAAATTGGATTTTTCTTCCCACCTTTTGCGCTATTAACCAGGGTAATCCAAAAGATCAGACAAGACAAGGCGTCAGGAATTTTAATACATCCAAACTGGCCATCCCAGCCTTGGTGGCCACAACTCCTCAAGGACAGGACATCTTACCTGGACCTTCCAAGTCTGTCAACCGCCCTGACTTTACCTCAAAATCCCACAGCATGTCATCATCTGCAAAAAGCGATGCTTCAAGCATAGTTTTTTCTGCACAACAATTAGATCAAGTTGTGCAGCAAACAATTAACGCCGCAAGAGCAGAGACGACCAAAAAACAATACCATGGAATTGTGGAGAAATTTCAAAAATTTGCAGGTCAGAATGGACAAAATGTAAATACAATAACATCCGAAACGGTCCTGCCGTTTTTGGCTGTATATACCGCAATCCCGCAAAAATACTCCTTTGGATACATACGCCAGATTTGGGCAGCAATTACCCAGTGGCTAGCCGACAATAATCGTGCAAATATCATAAACCAAGAAAAGCTGGAGAAATTTATGAAAGGGGCCAAGCAGAACACAAAAAATTTCAAACCAAAAACATCAGTCTGGGATGCTGAAATTGCGGTGAGAAACATACAACAGCGCCCGATACCGTTGTCAATACTAGAGCAAGCAAAAGAAACTTTGCTCATCCTTGCACTAGCAACAGGGTTGCGAGTCAACAACTTGTCAAAATTGGGAAAGAATTTCTGGCAAGAAGGAAATGATTTATTCATCCCATTTCTTGAAAATCAAAAAACATCATTGGGGATACAGCAGACCAGGACAGGAATCTGTTTGGCACCAAATACAGTTGACCCTCGTATATGTCCAATAAATCTTGTAAAAAGTTATGTGAATATTACTAATTTCGAAGCAAGGTCGCCGTTTCTTTTTGTCCGGGCAGATAACGGCAACAAGTGCAAAAAACCACTCTTTGTCAATGGCTCATAAAAATCCTGGCAGAAATCGGAATTACCGACACACCAGGTTCAACGAGATCTGCAGCTGCCAGTTTCACCTGGGCCAAAAATTGGTCCTTTGACTCCATCACTAAATTAACGGGATGGAAAACGGAAACGACGTTTCAAAAACACTACAACCAAAAGCTGATCAAGAGGGGGCAAAATCTCATGGATCCCCCTACTCCAAGCAGCAGCTGCACCCCTGGTACATCCCGGCGTACGCCCCTGGCAGGGCCAAAAATAGACCTGACGGCGCAATTTTCTCAAAGTTTGTCTTTAGTTTTACAGCCAGACGCGAGCAATAAAAGAGTCGAGAGCAGGAAGAGAAAGACTGTGCTCGTCCCCGGGGATGCAATTGCGACGCGAATGCGAGCTTGCATAAAAAATCGCGAAAGTGCCAAAAAACAGTGACGAATGTTTTATGACGCTGCAGCTGTGTTTTTGTGAAGTGTAAATAAAATTGTTTTCCACCAAAACTTTGGGAAAACAGCTTCTTTCTTCAACAAAACATAAAATACGTGCTCACACGTTAAAAGTTAATAAACGTTCAAAAAAGTTTATAGTACACAACATGTTGAAAATCTCAGACTTTTGAATCCGATTCAGTTCTTATCAAGTAAAATCTTCAAAAATGTTCGCCTTATATATATTTCAGTAAATGCGGCTGTATTTATCTTTTCTGGAAAATTTCCGAATATTGTTAGGGGTTCAAGGGTTTGTGCAATCGTATGCNATTTAGTTAGGGTGTAGTAACAAACCCCCAGGCAAGGGCACCGTTAGCCTGGGGAAGGTTACTACTTACCTAACTTAATTCTCTTCACTGTCCCAAATGAATCAAATCCGAACCCACCCCTCAATGAAAAAGCGGATCCATAAGTCCAAGATCCTGCTAAAGCTCTGAGGGTGGGGGATCCTGGTACGTAGACATGGGTCAGTATTCACAGTGAAGAGAATTAAGTTAGGTAAAAAGTAACCTTCCCCAGGCTAACGGTGCCCTTGCCTGGGGGTTCATTAATATCATGATTTAATTCTCCAAAAAGATTGCAAATACTGTGACACTTCATATGATACTGCATTGCATGCATCACGAATCAATGGAAAATGCATCAATAAAAAGATAATATAATCAGGATCTGGATTAAATTTGAATTCCATAATTTCCATCTGATGCATTTTGGGTTCAATTCTGGCTACTCATGCAAACATTTAAGCAGGCAATTTTTAGATACAACTTGAAATGCTATTTTGGTGGTAAAATTTCAAAAAAGTTTTGGATGACATTTTGGATAGTTTCCATCAATATTTTCATCAATATTTTCATTGTATTTTCAAAACTTGACCAAGTTTGTTCAAGATGCTTTAGCCCGTATGTGGTAGAGCCAGGATTTCTTTGAAAAATTTTGTGGCTGTAGCCATAAAAAATGCGAAAGTTTGCCAAGTTTTCCAATGCAGAGTCAGGACATTCCCTGGCTTTTTTCCACCAGACACAGCAGGAAAGTTTGGCTTTGGGTAAAGAAAGAAAGGCAGATGGTTGAGTTTTTTCTGCATTCCTCTCTTAGGATTAAGTTAAGAGGAGTGCAGAAACAATGAGTTTGTAAAAATTCTTAGCCCCCCAAGAAATCTTTGACTTTGCTGCCCGAAGCTATGCTATTTTTTCAGTGACCTTTGGTCAAACCAGAATGCATAGTAAGGGCAAACCTTTACCACAAAGAGCAACATCTAGCCACAACGCAAACACTTGTGCCTCAGGGCAATGATTTCCTGTAGTGGCATTCTAGCATCACAAATGTATCAGAAGATATGTTTGCACTCACATTTAGCTAACAAAAAAAATTTAGTAAACTAATGATCTGGGAGTTTTTAGAAATACTTTAATTTCCTAATGAACAATTTTATTTATCAACTTCATGCTGAAAACTACACAAAATCCTTTGCTAATTTTAAAGAGAATTATCTGTCCGTGAATGTCTGGAACAATTGTCTATACAACATAAATTTGATGAAAAACAAGCTTTTTACCAGCACAAAAATTCTGCATAACAACAACGCACCCAGAAAAGCGTTTGTCTCTTGCGGTGCCAAGTGCCAACACCCAATATAATATACGTACTGTACAGTACTTCAGGATACCATACCGGAAGTACAGTATGCTATTACAGGACAACATGATTCATCCAGCGACATCTACAAATAACGCTGTCAAACGTGCAACGTCTATTTGATATGTTCTGTTCAGGAGTGCTGGACAGTACAAAGTTTCTTCTGGACGCGCCACGAATTGACCTTGTTTCACTTCAGTTGGGCTGTTACGCCCAGAATAACGTTCAAAATTGAGATTGTTCGCGTGTTTGAGGCCGTTCGATGATGATGGAATCATCGGACGGATTTTCGAACGAATCGTCGCAGTTTCTATCATGATCGCGGAAGGGATCATGGAATAATCAAGATTAGTTAACGTCGTGCGGTGCCATGAGTTTTTCGAATGCGGGATGACTTCACAATACTTGATGCAGATTCTGATATCTGCCCATCAAATTGTATAGTTCCTGATGATTTTTATCGCATTGGTCATGAATGCGTGCTGAAAAACTTAGAAATTGAATTTAATCAGGTATACGTATGAATTATGCCTTGCAGGAGCTAGAATGGCGGAGAATTGGCCCGATCTGAGTTCTGTTACGAATACAACGGCCGGTTGTCTGTTATGTGGGGACGATGAATCTATGGATGAATCGTGGTCGACAGTCAGTGACGAGTTTAACGGTAAAACTTATAAGTCCCTGCTTCTGCAAGCGTGTGGAAGGAAAGATCTCGGAGAAATAAGCGATGTGGCGGATTTATGCCCGCAGTGCTGTGGAAAGCTTGGAGAGTATTCCGTTATCCTGTCGCGTTTGGAGAATCTGAGGTATATGCTGCGAAATCATGAGTACGGTACTCCTGTTGCAGTTCACTGAATTTTAAACCTTCTTTCAAGCTCTGACCTGAAAATCAGCCTTCTCGGAAGACACCCCGGTTTGGCTGAAAATGATTGCAAGGACCGCAGAGCGAGGGTCGTGGTTACAGAAGATTTGAAGACGATGATGATCAGGGCACGGCTGCTATCCGGAATGGATGAATCAGTTAGCCTCCGAAAGCGAGCGCGATGTGATACGCCGACAAAAGACTGTCAAAGCCTTGTTCCCGTCTCAAGTTGTGTATTCCAAGATATCAAGAACCTTGGAAAGTCTGGATTTCCGAGGTATGGACAATTCAGTGCGGTGTTCGAATGCATGAACACTCAATATGGGTCATTTCAGGAAATGCTCTTCAAGCGTAGAACTTGGTCTACGCAGAGATGCGAAGGACGCGAAGCCACGATTCCGTTCTGTTGTGACGATTTCGGCGGAAAATAATATCAGGAAAAAGACAGGTTGGTTTTCAATGAGTCGCTAAACTTAAAGGCTTAAACTCATTCGACTGAAACTTCAATAGTGCAATCTTAACATCCACTGGTCGGAATCTTTGTCGAAGTATTGTGCGTGGTATAACTTCGTGGAAGTATGCAATTTCAAGTTTTTGGCAGTTTATTTCTCATACATTCCGAATTGAAAGTCTCCGTCGTTCGTCCGACATCTGAATGGGACTGTTCTTAACTGAAATTCTTGGATTCACATGAGTGACATGACCATACTTTATTTTCAAAAGTGTACCAAATACTTCCTCAGCTTTTTCACGCTCATGCCGCGAATAGATTCACCCGATTTGTATTTCATCGCTTTTTCCGTTCGAATCGAAAGGAAGGTGACAATTTTACTGAGTCTGAATGACCATTGCTATCGCCCCACAGATTCTGGGATTTTAAATCGGGGAAACCATTGAGCACACAACGACTTGCATTGTGACGATAACCAAAGGACCATTCTTAGAAGATGCGGAGGAAGATCTCGTGCTTTGTGTAACGTTTTTCATGTTGTTCGAACTTTTCTATGAATTCCAGTGAGTTGTTCCGTCCTTTGGATGTTGTTCTTGTTTTTTTTCGTGACGAGGCTATTATCTGACAAGTATTTGTGTACGGGTCAGTGGACGTATTTTTATGAAATCGTCAAGATCGATAAAATAATTCACTGATGCTGAATCTTAAAATGCTGCGAATTTATTTCCAAATTCTGGTCCTAAGCAGAGGAATGGTTCAGGTTGCACTCGGGCTCGCTACGTCACAATTGATTCTTACATTTTCTCCTCAGATTCTTTATTGATAGTTAATCTCTTTCTTCGGGACGGTTAAAGAAAATGCCCCGAATCTCGAAATCTACACGGTGAAATACTTGAAATTTCGTGTGAATATTGGGAGATGCTGGTTTCAGAGAATAACCTGCTTGGAAGCAGACCCACGCTTTCCGTTATTGTGATTTGGGATGGACCATCTGAAACGAGGGCTGACTGGACATGGCAGACGTTTGTTCCACCGGATATGTCAGTTGGGAAGCTGAAGCAAACGGCGTTGGCTCATTTTCTCGAGAAAAGTGAGGCTTTGAAGGCTGAGAACTCGTACAAGTTGTTGTTTCCTGAAAATGGTAGGAGACTCCTGGAAAGCAACTCCGTTGCGGATGAAACGGGAATTTCTGATGGCAACCAAAGTCCAAGTTGGTCATCCTTTCGTGTATCGTATTTACTTGGAAATGCGTTTTATGCCCCTTCATAGCTGAAGCAACCGTTCTTACCGTTCTTCCGCATTGATATGCCTACAGTATTTTCAAATTCACATGTGTGATACAATTTGGCACCTGTATCTTCGCTTGAGCTTATGTGATGCATTTGGACTGGTTAGAGTGTATTTTTTCTTCGGAAGTACTTGATACAAGAGGGGTCTGGCAGATGTTTTCGAAATAGAAATTGAAACGGCCTAAGATTCAGCTGAAAAACGATTGTTGTTCAGAAAAAAACATTCTTCTGCGGAAGAAAAATCCAGCCCTCCTTTAAGCTTTTTTCATGAAAGTTTTGCGAAGTTCACCCTGTATGTCAGCTCTCTGCTCATCCCTAAGAAGATGAAGCGTTCATCTCAGAGATTTTTTAGTGTACACCAGCTTATCCTTCAAAATTCTTGAAATTGACGTAGCAATAATGCCATGGGTTTCTGTCATCAATGATTGATCATTAATGCCGCCATTTTCATTAATAGCCGCCTTCACAGTCGCCAATTGTGATGAACATTAGGCGGCTTTCGGCAACCCTTGAATTATGAAAGAAAACGCTGGGCAACACAAAAAAATCTGCGAGATGGACGCATCACCTTTTGAGGGAATAGCAGAAGGCTGCCATAAACGGTGACTTTTGCATATATGTTCTGCAAAACGTGTCGAAACACGGCTGACTTTGCTTCTGGTGTCGAAGAATGATTTTTTCCGGACAAAATCTGTTCTTCAGCTCAATCATATGCCATTTCAATTTCCATTTCGAGAAATGTTTTTGGACAGCTTGTAAGTTCATGCTGTGGCAGTTTGAACTGCGGAGCATTCACTCGATGATTCTCTATGAGGATTCTCATTTCCTGATTCCACTTGCGGTGTGTGAGATGTATATTATTGATTTCTTGCTTTGATACTTTTCAGTGGAGATGATTCTCTTCAAAGTTGGCGATTTGTCCTCCACCGAAAATAAAGAAAAGCCTGAAGACGCGGCGCCGACATCCCCGGAAATCGAAAGAGCAACTGCGACTGTACCCAGGGAAAACATCGAAAGAATGACCCAACTGCCTCCATTGATTGACGTGAGTTCCATTTTTGTCTGGGAAATTCCCTGTTCGTACCGAATTCCTTTTTGTGTCTGAGTTGATTTATCTCTCGGCGTTTGCTTCAATTCTTTTCTGATTGAACAGCACTGAAAAGTGCTGAAGTGATGCAGTGAAAATTTCTTCAAGTATGATGTTCTTCTTGAAGTGCAGTAAAATCTTGTTAAGACGCCGCTTGATACGCCGCCACCCTCGGCGACCGCCAATTTATTTAAAAAAGGAATCTTTCCTCGTCATAAAAGCATTGAGAACCCCGTTAAAACGCCATCTGCAAGAGTCTATTGATAACTCAAATATTCCACCGCCAATTAATTTTGTCTTTGATCTTCCGCCTACGAGATTCAAGTTTCTGCGAGAGGTCCTCTGTTTGAAAAAAAAAAAACACACAAGCACAAAAGTGGTATAATTACTTCTTGGGAACATTAGCTAGATTTTCCTGGGTTATTGAGATTGTTAACTATAATACTGAGAATTGAAATTCCTCTAATACTCAAATTTGATATTACTGTATTTTAGCATTTTTTTCATGAACAACCAACCCCCATTAAACCGCCACAAACTTCTCGAACAGATATGGGCGGCTGTACAAGGTTCGACTGAGAATCAAAATACCCGCAAAATTCCAACAGTTGCCCTTGTAGATTTTTTATGCCTCGGCAATGATTGTAGAATCGCAATGATTCATGAAGGTATTGTAACAGATGCAGGTACAAATGCGGAGAGTCTTCCTCACGCTGCTGGAGACGTCGTGCAAGTTGCAGAGCGACGATCCGATCGTTTTGAATTTGCTGAAGCAAACGTTGGAAAGAGTGCGGAAAAAGTGCAAGGATTTACCGCAAGTCGACAAGAACAAACTGGGACAATTGTTGGAACTGGGGTTTTCCACTGTAAGAGCCGTGCGTGCGCTGCGTATGTTCAGGTGCGTGAGACCGGCATTTTTAGAACCATTCCAAACGAAACGAAATACAGTCGAATATCTTCAAGACGAACCGCAAAAAAATTTGAGTTGATGGGAACAAGCCTTTTTATTGTGGGAAGAGAGAGAAGGATTGTAGGAAATGGTGATATTCTGGGCCTTAAATTGCTTTTTGAATGAATTTAAAAAATCCTGAACTTTGAGGCAAGGGTTCATTTGCCGAAATAGTGTTTTGCTTCATTTCGAAACACATTATGATTCGTTTTCTATTGCTTTTATCTTTCCTGTATAAAGAAAATAATACCCGAGAGGCCTCAGAAATTTTGAGTAATGGAGATTTGCGAGGGAAAGCTTTTGCATTAGAGAGTTATTTAATACATTATTTTCTGGGGAATTCAGACGGGAACTTGAATAAGGTTCAACTTGGGGAGGTTCGAAATATCGAGGTTGCATTGTAATATAGTATTGAATCAAAATCAACAGACAGAATCTTCGGCAAGCGACGGATTGGCTCCTGCTGCATCCAATGTCAACAGACGATCATCTACGATCCGGAAGAGGAAATGTTAGTTGTTTGTTGATTCAGTGCTTGTTGAATGACGTGTATGTGATTTGGTGTTATTAAGCGATCAGCGTCTCCCACCGACAACGTAGGAGCGGAGGTTCGAGAAGCTTCTCCTGCACGAAACGGAGTCGTGAGTCAAGAAACCCCTCGGACAGTGACTGATGAGATCAGTGTTCAAACTCTCCAGGCCTCTGTTTCACCGGGGGGTGAGTGATTTTCATGCCCTTCTCCCTTCATTGTTGAGTTCTTCAGGGTCATATTGAAGAAATTTTTGATCATGAGTACAGTGAAGTTCAAGAGAACGGCATTTTCGTACGCAGGTTGATTCTATCTACATATACGAGGTAATTCAAGGTACCAGAAAAAAGTTCGATATTGAGAGAATGTTGTTGTAGAAAACACATATAAAATGTGTAAATAACCCCATGGCAGCTCAAACATTTTTTTTCATACCTGTTCAGATAAAATCATTGAAAACACACTTGTAGAGAGAGTACACCTGTATTTGGAATTGATTTACAAAATTCAAGGGTAAACTGAAAAGTTTCCTGTGAAGAAACTTCATTTGTGGAGAACCTCTATTACCAGGATCAAGTTTTGGATTAATCAGATTTATCTTCAAACATTTTTCCTGAATTGTTAAGTGAATCGAAAATTATACGGGAAAAGGCTCAATACTTCGAGCTTAATTTTGCTCTTCAATTGCCTTGTCCTGTGATTTTTGCCAATCTTAAGAAAACATGATGAGGGTTCATTATCCATGCATTTGTATGTACAGTACTAGGATGTAATTCATTTTAATTTTGATAAAATAGAAAGTGTATATGTATTGGATGTGTGGGGGAATCTCGGAAAATTTTGTGAATACGAACAGTGAATAACGGTTATGCATGAAACAATCAATCAAAGCCATAAGTCAAAGTTTTAAGCTTAAATGTATGGTTTACATGCTACGCTGTATTTTAATATATTTAATGTGAAAGAATATATCAAGATTTTTACACATATTGTGTTAGGTGAAAAGCAGAGCAGTTTCTTCAAGTTTTTATGGAGTTTTATATCAAGTGACATCTTGCAGGAATCACCAATGTTTCCAAGAAAGCTATCACTTCATTTATAAAATCTTCAATAAAGGGTGTTTCATGCACTAAAAAAACTGTATTTTGAACAATGTGAATTTAGAAATGGAATTTTCAAAATTTATTGTAAGTTTTTTTGTGAACATGGGATGAGATTTCGATTTTTAAGTTGATAACACAATGATATACCCAGAAAAATCCCTAATTTCATTGATTTTGGCCCATGTTTCGTCCAGGATGAGGCATTTTCTGTGTCACTAAGTTGGCGCAAAATTGGGTTATTCCTCAAGAACACAATAAAGCGAGATAAATTCCGAAGAAATCCGTGGCTTTTTATTGATGGTTGACGGTATTTTTTGCACACGTTTTTAAAGTAATGCAATGTAAAATGGCGTAATATTTGCATTGCAGACTTTGTGTTTTCACCGCCGGACATGGATACCCCGGATCTGGATCCCTTCGTGAGTTCGTCGTTGACGTATTCTGTTCCGGCTTTGCCGACGGGTCCAGTGTCGACGACGGAAGTTCCGGAAAAGCCGTGGAACGTGTTGTTGGACGAGGTGAAGCAAGCCTTGAGGGAATTTCATCGTTTGCACTTTATTCCGCATCATGGAGTTATGCAAGCTTTGATTGAGATGGGCTTCAACGAAGAAGACGCGGAAATTGCATTGCAAGTGACGGGAAACAAACGAGAACCAGCGGTGATTATTGTCAAATTTTTTTTTTTTGCTGTATCCATTTTGTTGAAGCGTGTTAAAAGAATACTTTTTTGTTCGCGATATTCGAGAAAATGTCATGGAATTGTGGATTCACCGCACACTAAGAAGCATACAGGATTAGGTTTCAACGTGTAGTACAATATTTACTCGGGTGACATTCCAACCAATTTTTGTGTGGGAAATTTGCCCAAAAAGGTATTCCCGTGTAATACCTGCACCCCAATATTTTTGACAATCGAGAATTGTGAAGCTTTTTGTGTGTGATTCCATTTTTTCCCATCGATGTTTTGTCTTTCCTGTTGACTGTCTGCTGCAGCAATCGAAATGTGCTTTGGATAAATTGCAGCTTCCTCCAATTGATGAATACAGTGGGATACCAATAAATGGACAATTCAAGTTAGAAAATACTTACAGATGAAAAACTATCTGCCCCCAAAATCCGGAAATTGACAAGATACGGACACTTCTTGAAGATTTATGTGAAAATGTTATCCAAATTTGTGTATTTCTTCGGAAAACCGATACTGTATATTCACATTTAAAGATGCAAGATTTAAATTTCCTGCTGAAATTACCCTAATTCATAATCAAAAACAGGCTAATTAAGTACTTTTTCTTTTTCAGTTTTTCGATGGCATTTGCTCCCCGCTCAGTATGTAGCAAAATGGCAAGACTAGTTATTTTCATTTTTCTTCTTGAGCTCCTTCTGAAGCCAGAAGATCAGATTTTGTGTGGCTGCCTTCTGTTTTATTTTCTGTATTGATGTAGAGAAAAACTTATTTACTTTCGGGGGGGGGGGGGGGGACTTTTCCTCAATTTTTGATCTACAGGAGAACCAATAAAAATATTCGTATTAAGTCCATGGAAGAATGAGTTCCAACATGCGGACGTTCTGACTTGCGTACAAGACATGCGCCAATTACGTCCGCATCTCGAGGTCCCTTTGTATTTCCTCTTACTCTACTTACTTTTTCATCTTCAACTGATTTATTCCCGAAATTATTGTTGTTTGAAGCATTATTCCCTGTGGACAAGGAGACTTAGCGCCAGGCATTTCCTCTTCATTGGATTTTGCTCAGGTGTCCTTTCATGTCTGTGGAGCGCTGGTTTTGGGAATTTTTTCTTTAATAATGTAATAGAGCACCAAAGATGGTGCGCACTCTATTCTTCCACCTACATTTTTGAAAAAGGAAAGGCGCTTGGTACATGAGTGAATACGGGTAAATTGCTTCCCAATATTCCGTTCAGAACTTTTTCGTGCCGAACTTTCATGGATCTTCGGGTCACATCTGCAAAAATTGCGTCTACCTATGTGGATTCATTTTTCATGCTGAGACTTTATGATGGTGAAAAAGTGGTGGAGAAAAATATTCGTTGTTTTATATGTTATCATGTTATAAAATTGATGAATTGATTGATTGATTGTCTGTGGCAGTGCGAGTGGCTGTTGGCTGGTAACAAGGCTCCTGGTGCTGCATATGAGACCGGGTTTCCTCGTGAGTGTCCGATTATACTGAATATTCTGGAGCAGACGCCGGTGCAACTGGCGTTGATGAAGCCGAAAACTGTCGCTGGTGAGTTGACCTCTTTTTGATTTTGAGTAATTTTTTTCGTGAATGCTCAATTGGGTTGTGAAGAATATGCGCAGTGTTCAACCGGAAAAAATGATGCATTTTTAAAAATTCGATTTTGATGTACAGGTATTCTGTGATTTACTCTAGCATTCTTAGAGAGGGTCTTCTGTGTGTGAGGGCCGAATCATTTGAATATCTTGTATTTATATCTGGTCTGAAAAAGCTAACGTACTGTATTCACTTGAGTACCACGTCCTCAAGTAAGACTTGCACCCTATCTTAGTGACTGAAAACCGCAATATTTCAAGAAAAAGGAACACCAGAGTTCAAATTGGGACAAGAATCCAACCTCAATTCAATTGCCATGTTAGCTCAGAAACACGCGGATTTATTTTTAAAATCACAAGGAATAGTAGAGGATGCTTGTTAAAGACAGGAAAAACATCTGACGGATGTTCAAAGCTTTGGTGCGCATTGTACTCAATTCCAGTATACATTTTTACCAAATTTCAATTAAAAACAAGCTGGGGGTGCCCAGCCACACCTGGGCATCATGTTTGTAATTTTACAAATATTTTAAAAATTTCTATGAATCAGGGTACAATATATTTGAAAAATGGGGGTGGACAGCCACACCTATGCATC